CATGATGAGTCTCCCCCAAAGGTAAATCCACCACACTACGACGTAAACCCTAAGCTTCAAAGATCTTCCAAGCTTGAGACATGCAGCCAACTAAGCCATACCAAAACCCGGAGCCCAAAACACTCAACCCTGAACCCTTTAGCCCTTCGTGTTGGTATGCGCGCCGCCTACAGCCCAGGACCCTAAGCCCCACGCATAGGGCCTATAGGAGGAAAATTGCCGAGAACCTTTAGGTTGTAAGGTTTAAGATTCCGCGTCTACTGGGTTTTCGGGTTGGAATGAACACCCAGAGGAACTTAGCCCCCTTCTGGTATATGGGTGCCTCAAGCTAGTCCTCAACTCAGAGCGAAAGCTAAACGGGTCTTTCTTTCACTGTGTTTTGAACGTGTTTCGCTCGTCTGCCGCGTGATTCTGGGCGTTTCTTCGCAAGCCTGCATCTCTCTGCGGCGAAATGAGAGCATCATCTTCCACCTCCGCTTACGCTGCCCCGCTTCGAAAGGATGCTTGAGGCAAAGTCCGGCCGGTCGTCTGGACCACCCGGAGTTCAGGGTCCTTGAACCCTGAGCCCCAAGGGCTTTAGGGGTAAAGTTTTCGCGGCCTGCGGAGTCGTTTATGCAGCCCCACACTTGTGGGATTCTGTCGAGCATCACCTTGAACCCCCATTGACGCTGGCAAAGTCCGGAAAAAAAGGACTGTGAGATGCGTCTGCGCGACGAGGCTTAAGGGTTCAACCCAAGTCCCTGTCCGTTTGTTCTGCAGGCTGACAGCTATACGATAGTCTGTTGGCCTGCCCACACATCTTCTGCGAACTGCGGATTCCGCTGACATGCGCTGCTGGGTGGAAAATGGTGCTTAGAAAAACACCTTAAGCCAAAATGCCTTTAGGGGTAAAGATGCCGAACTTCCCCGCAGTTATCATGCTCTTACGAAGCCCTAGATCGTAAACCCCAGCCCCTCTTTTGTGTCAACATCCACTTGGCCCAGCTTCCGAACATGGGAAACGATGAGCTCCACACACGATCGGGCTCGAGGTAAAAATGGAAGAATGGGAGAGATTTCACCAAAAGCTAGACCGCGATAGGCCTTAGACGGATATGTTTGCATTTTGCATGTGGTGTCTTTATATAATTATATATATATATATGTATCTGTGTGTGTGTGTGCGCTGGCATATGTATCCCGGCAATCCCTGGTTTGCGTGTTTGTTGATTTATGCAGTGTCTCTGCGGTTTCGTATGGTTTTATGCGTATACTTGCTTGTTCTCTGATTCATCTGTTCATTATTGAATTCGTTCATAAATGAATTCTTTCCTTTCTTGCTTCCTACCTCCCTTCCTTCCCTCCTTCGTTTCTTCATTCATGGTCATTCCTTCGTTCGCTCAGTCAGCCGTCGGTCAGTCCGTCAGTGTGCCAGCCAGCCCGACAGCTAGCTAGCCGGCCAGCCAGCCAGCTAGCCAGCTAGCCAGCCTTGCAGCCAGTGACTCAGTCAGTCAGTGTCAGTCAGTCGGTCAGCCAGTCAGTCAGTCAGCCCGTCGGCCAGCAAGTCAGTCAATCAGTCAATTAGTCGGTTGGTCAGTCGGTCGGTCATTCACTCAGTCTTTCATTCATTCGCTCAGAATTTCGTTCATTCATTCATACGCTCATGAATCCGTTTGTTGATTTATATTTTCGTTTGATTTCTATAGAATGACAACTATGCAACTATACTAGTGGTACTGACAACAGGGACATTGCGTTTGCTGGTGATAGCCGTACATGTAAGTAAGTAGGTTGCAAGTGTAGCGCTATGAATGGGAAAACCCTAACCCTAAACCCCTAAACCCTAGACACTCTACCTATTTTCTGCCTCCCAGTCCCCCTTTTGCGAGGCCCCGCAGACATGAGCGCTATGTGGGGTTCAACCTCGGGTATCATGAGGCTTTCGTACAAAACGAAATGCTCGAAAGCTGTGTTGATGTCAGCCGCCCCCCGCGTGCCCCATCCCAAACCCTTACTGCCAACCCCCCAAATCTACCCCCCGAAACCCCCAAAGCACCCCTGAAAGCCGTGGTGCTTTTCTGCAGGCATGAAGGCTCTTCTTTTGTCCTCTGCTGTGCTGACTGTGACACCCGGCGAGGAAGGGTTTGAGGTGTTTCGAGCTCGCGAGCTCCTTGTGTACATACAGTACAGCAACCTCTGCTTGGGAGGTGTTCCCGACGCTCCTGATGCGTTGTGTAATCCGACGGTGAGAAAGTTTCTGCCTCACCCAGTGATGGACGCAAGCAGCCCAAGTCCGTCCTCACACCACGCAGCCTTTGGGTCAAGACTGTGAGTGGCTGGGTCCTTCTTCCCACAACACGGAAGCGCCCCAGCAGCGGCCTGAGAGTGCCTCTTGGCGGCGGAAGCTGTCAAAATCCAACGTCCCGCTCCCGAAATCCGAAACTCCCTCCTGAAAAGCACGTTCCTCGGATCCAGGGCTTCAGTGGCTCCGGTCTGTTTTCCAGAAGTTGATCACGAAATCGCACCAAAAGCAGGCTCGGAGGGATCGAGTCGAATAAGCCACAATTCTGGCAGCATGAAGTCAGTTAGCTTTCCTTGTTGCCCAAGGTTCTTGCACGGCAGCACGAGATCGGCACAGGGTAATGCAGCGATTCAGTTTATGCCAGGTCCAGCGGTGACCAAGGTGCACAAGCTAGCCCGATGAGGCTGTGCACCACAATAGCTCGTCGGTATCGGCAGCCATTTGTCTTCCAGATTCATGTCGTCGGAAGGGTTCCTTGTCGTGGCCACATGGTTGCCGTGAGAGGCGCTCTGGCGCGCGCAAGCCTGCTGGGAAGCGCCCTGCAGGTGAGGGAATCACACATCTGGTTGGGTTGGCATTTGTATGCTCAACGAACCTGCTTGCTGCTTATGGGTGCAGATGGCGCTGGTGATGCTCCTCCCAAAGCCAACCCGACATGTCTTTATTGCTCATGCCTGTCGAATCGTAGAGCACTTCGCTGATCGTGCAGGTGCCTTGTCCTTATTCTGCGAAAGAGCGAGCTTTGTTGTGTGCTGGACACAGTGGAGTTCTGCTTGTTCATAGCAGGAACAGTCTGGTCTTCGACGCAGCAGATCAATGGGTTCACGTTCAGAGTTGGCGAACATGGTCAGGAGCCTCAGACATGCCGAGTCGAAGAGGAAGCTGATCCATGTGCACAGATGTATGGGGGGTTTCCCAAAAAAAAGCGGGCCCTTAACAAGAAAGCAATATGTTCAAAACATCATTTTCGGATCCCTGAGTATTGTAGCCACAGCACGGAGGGCCGCCCCAAAACCCTATTTGCAGAAAGCCAAATGTAGGAAGCATGGAGAAGTAGCCAGAGACTCTCAGGTGGAGCAGCTGTCGGAAACCAGCGGAAGTGGATCAGTGCGCATGTTGACACGAGCAGGCTGCAACGGGTATGCTGCGGTACGACGAGCCGTATCATTTCTCTCTGAACGACATGCTGTCAAACTGTTGAAAACTGTATCACTTGTTGCAACTGTTAGTGCTGTCGCTGCGCTATTGCGACTCACACGGTAAAAACGTGGCCAGAGCAAATCACAGCGGCAGTAGCTACTCAGTAGATAGCCTTGGATAGAGTTGCTCCGATTGCAACAACTCTTGAGTTTCCTTCTGTTATTAGCACTGTAAGTGTTCTCAGGTTTGTTATTGTTGTCGGTATTTTGATTGCTGTTGTTGGCATTTTCATTGCCTTAACTCTCGCTGTCAGGCTGTTCGGCCTGCCGCAGCGATTTTCCTGTTCTTAGTCCTGCTACATCCTACTACTGCAGCTGGTGCAGGCCTTTGCCTGGCCATGGGAGTCGTGCTGGTGGCGGGCTACCATACGCTACATCCTGAGCTTGTGGAAGTTGCTGTTCTCCGGCTCTTGGCTTTTGTGATTCTCAGGCCGGTGTGGTTAGTCCCCTTCGGCATCGTCTTCGAGGGAGTGTCGCTTGCTTGGTTCTACTTGATCCAGAAGGAGCCACCGAGATGGCGCTCTTGGGCAGAGACCGGGACAGGAAGGTTGCTTGCTCTCTTTCAGGACTGCGAGAAGGGCCACTTCTTTCCGAGCCCTGCTTTGAACACGCTGGTTTCCTATCTCCTCCGTGGCTCTCCCAGAAGGGCTTCATGTGACCGGCCGCATCATCATGAAAAAGGTAGCCGAACCTTGAGGAATCTTGATGCCACGACGGCAGGTTGGGAGCTGCACATGGCAGTGGCGATCATGCTCACCGCGACACAGGCGATTGAGATGTACGGGTCCTGTAGCTGTGGTGTAGCCGCGTAGCCACCTGCAAGAGTGAGAGAAAGTGTTGCTGAACAAGAGCATGAAGGATGCAGGTGCCAGGATTGCTTTGTCGGTTTCGGAAGCATGATGAGTCTGCCAGCTATGCGGCCATGATGACTGATGGTGGTGAGTATCCATGTGTTTTTGCTTGAATGAATATGCAGACTGGAGGCAATGATGATAAAGATGCAGGTGAGCCATTCCAAAAGTGTCCCTGCTTGCAAATCCTAAACCGATGACTGCTGCAGATCTGGAGCTTTGGAGCGCTACTCAAGTTCTGGATGCTCCCATTCCTGGTGATGCAAGCCACGCTGGCCACCACCACAAACTCCGAGGAGGCAAGTCGGGGATTTGGGATCTTTCAGCTTGGAGGCTTCGGTAGTAGGGTTTAGGGTTTAGGGTTTAGGGTTTAGGGTTTAGGGGTTTAGGGTTTAGGGTGTGCATTGATGGAGGACGGGACGAAGAAGCAGCGACAGCCCGGCTCCATCAGAAAGTCTCCTTCAATGACATCGCCGCCAGACCGCACTTGTGAGCGGGCAAAGAAGTGATTTCGAATCTCGGAGCCCATCGAGTTCCGTCTTTCGAGGTTGGAGCTTCTCTTCCCGGAGCTCGAGCTCGAGCCTCGCAAACCTTAACCCCTAAACCCTAAACCCCTAAACCCATCTAAACCCCTAAACCCATCTAATCCCTAAACCCTGCCTTGCTCAGGTCCACGGCCTCACAAGTCAGCGATCTGCTTGACATTGCGCAGCACGCCGACCAGTCATCGGTCTTCCGGCACCAGGCCCGGGAAGTTCCTCTGCAGTGTTTAATACAATATCTTCTGAAGCACTGCAGAAGACTGTTTATATAACGGTACAAGAACCACAAGCCTGGAATTCTAGGCGGCGCAAGGGGGCTGTCGAGCTGGGAGAAGGTTCACCAGGTTCACGGTCGTGCAGCGGGTAAGTGGCAAATCTGCTATTCGGCTGGCGAGGGGGCTAGGGCGGCTAGGGTTGGACAGCCAAAACATGGCAAGCACGTGACCATCGCGTACCCGAGTGCTCGGGAGTGATCGAAGCGACGAGTCAGTAGATTGGAGTTAGGATTGCCACCCGATCTGGTTTCCTGGGGATCTGCATCTGTGAAGCAGGTGAGCGGTGACCAGGAGGACGAGGAGGATTCTGAGCGCTTGCGCGCCGGAGTTTTGTGTTTTTCGGAGGGTCCGATCCTTGCCCGCAGGACTGGCAGTTTGGGGTTGCACTCCATCAAATTCCAATGTGAGAGCCTCAGTGTACAATCTGCTTCTCTGAAATGTTCTTGCTGCCATGTTTTGACGGCCGTTGATCTCGAAGTGGCCTTCGAACGAGTCTGTTGCAACACAGAGTTCAGGTATCAATTACAACGATTGTCCAAGAATCTTTCCAAAGAGTTGCAGCGTGCGCGTGGCTTGGCGGCAAGACATGACCGGCTTTTTCTGGGGTCGTCAGCAGGAGCTGTTCCAGTCCACCTTTCTCACTGAGGCAGTGGAAGTTTTGGATCCAACACGGACCTGGCTGGGCGAGCAAATCAACCACAATCGGGATCTGAAGAAAACCTGCAGAGACTGCGGGAGGCCTGATCGACTGGCGCCACAAAGCCTCTGTTGTCGGTGGTGCGGCCCCCCTGACAGGCTTCAAAAGCGAAGTCCAAGACAAGGCTGCCTCCCCAGCTCTTCAATCTTGCTTCTGTGCAGTGAGTGGGCTCTGTTTGGCATTGTCCTCCAGGTCGTCCAAGAAGAAGACGCCCCTGGAACAAGTCCTGAACATCATCGGCTGGCCGGCAGCTAGGCTCAGTCAAGCCTTTCTCTGACTTCTGGCCTGCAGTGGATCTCTTGGACCTTGTCCGTCTTTTCCGGTGTGCGCCATGCAAATCCAGACGGGGCTTGCAGAACCTGCTTGACCATATTTCTCGAGGCTACATGGACTGCCCTCATGTAGTACCATGCACGCCGTGTTTGCAGTATGTGTCCTGCATGAAGCTTCGAGGCCCGCTACTTGTTTCGAGAGATGTGGCTTTGGACCGAGCGGGATCTAACCCTCTACGCCGTGGTTTCGCTCTTCTTGGTCGAGGTGTATGTTGCTTGGACTGACCAGGCTTACTATCTATGGTGCCATTGGAATGTACGTGGTTGTCATAGTTTCTACTATGATCTTGATAGTTGAGGACAATACGATGATCGCTATGACGTTTACTGATGTTGATGAAGATAAGATGGAGTTCAGTCCTCAGCACCATCACAAGCATCACCATCATCATATTCATATTCGTTCCTGTCATGGCCATGGTCACTGTCGTGGCCATGAAAATGATGCTGGTCCTTTCAATCGTCGTTTGTACTGTCATCCTAATCATCGCTTCCATCGTCATCATCACCAGCCATATGGTTTCATGCTCATCTTCAGCATTAACATCTGCAGCAGCATCATCAGCCGGGGTTCATTATTTGTCAGCCAGGTTGGCACCCAGTACTTCGCCTGGTCTCCCGTATGTCTGCTTTACCCGATCCTTTCGAGCTCCTCAGGCGGGCCAGCTGTGATCTTTGTTCACCTGTCTTATCCTGCGGTCTGCTGTCAGAAGGTCTCAGGGTCCTATGTACTGTGGAATTTTACAGCTAGGCAGGATGAAGCACAACAGACACTGAAGGTATGCGAGTGCCCACGCAAACTTCCACCTGGCTTTCTCTTCGCGCGTTTCGGGTCTATTCCCGCGGAGGGCACACAGAAGGCATCAAAATGCGTATAATCGGTGGCCAAAAAGTCCAAAGCAGACTTCCAAAAGAGTGACATGGCTCATCGGCAGGATTTATGTGACAAGGCCTTGGAACAGTACGGAGAAATGCCGGACACTCCTGGCCTTGCGAACGCCGATGTGCACAGAGATGGGGTTCACTGACATGTGGATTGTACCACCGGGCCAATGGAACACAAACACTGGTTGCCAGAAGAGGGAACGCTTGCTGAGTCGGCAGGTCTCCACTGACAGTCATTTTGGTCGCTTTGGCACACCACGGGGTTTCAATTCCGATGTCGGCAGGCTCCAGAAAAGCTCAAGAACTCCAAGACGAGCTTGTGATGATTTTCGCGCCTGAGCCACTCGGCACAGCTGGTGCAAAGTGTCGAGCACCGTGGTCTGAAGGCTGGAAGTCGGCCTTGCATCTGACATGTGACTGCAGGTATCGTTTCTGGCGCAGAGTGAACATTCCAGTGGCCATTCAGGCGTGCTGGGGGCCTGCAGTTGAGTCAATGCGGCCCTGACATGCTTGCAACAGGTGCTCGTGTGCCATAATATGACGATCTATCTACTCATAGTCACTTGGCCGGATTTGGGATGCCCTTCTGTCGTGTGGAAGAGCATGCATCCGTTCCACCGAGGTTCTGCTCATCTCACCCGGTCAGAGGCAAGGCAACCAGGTTGTTGGCGACAGGAGTCACGTGGACGAAGCCCCTTGTATGTCGTTGTCGCGGCGATACACCCGTTGACTCGCTTGTGCACATGCAACCTCTTCAAAGTGCTGGGCCCGGAAAGAGCGGTGACTCCAAGCGACTCCCCTGGCATTTGTATTGAATAATGGTTCAAGCGAAGTTCAGTGACGGCATCGATTGTTGGCAGAAGCCGGAACTCTTAGCTTGAAGCTGTGGGCCAGCTGCCGGCGGGTGGGCTTTGGGGGTATGTGGGGTGAATCATTTGCCTTCTTGATGTGGTCTCCGAAAGTAACAGGCTTGTCTTGGATGCTTCCGCTCTTGTGAACGGTGTGTTAGTGGTGACAGCTGAATTCGTGGAGGGACCTGTATGTGGGGAAAACCCCATGTTGGCAGACCTTCGTGTGCACCTCAGTCCTTTTCTGCTAGACTGCGTCCAATGCTCCTCCGTGGTCTATCAAAAGAATCTTTGAAGGTCTGGGCATTTCTCCTGTTGGTGGCAGCCTCGGATCCGCTGCGGTGGCTTTGCTCTCTTCTGCAGCGCGGCCTTAAAGCCTTGGACTTAGAGCCTTAGGTGCTTTCAATTGTGGGAATGGTGGGAACCAACCTGGTCTGGGCTGTGGGCAGCATCCGTCCGAGCATCCCGCAGAAGGCAGGCCCTTGTGGAGTTTCACCGAAGCGCTCCGTGGAAGAGGGGGGCCGCGTGATTTGCTTCGGACCTGAAGAGATCCCCTGCAGGTCGCCCTCATGATTTGTCAATCACTGGCCAACCAGGCAAGCTCGAGCACGGATGCAGAGGACTGCAGCATGTTGGACACGCTTCTTTGCCCAGGGTTCAATTTTCCGGTGGAGTCGCGATCAGCGATGTCATTTGAAGAACAAAGGCGCCTGTTGCACGGGCAGATTTCAGAGATTTGCTGCCGAAACCCGAAGATGACAGGTACGGATGCTGACCCTTTCGACCCACAGCGCGGGCTGGCGTATCGTTACATAGGATGGTCTCTCATGCACAAAACTCCGAAGATGATTGAGGCCGGGGCATCACGGGGCATGCGATTTGCAACCGGCAGCCGTTCCGTGGTCAAAGGCAACCCGCTCTGTGGACGTCCACGACCTCCTCTTGGACCAGGCTGTGGCCGGAGAGTGCAGTGCAGGGAAATGCTCGTTTCGGTGGAGAGAAAGAAGACCTCAGAACCCAGTGGACACGGTGGCACCTGGAAGCAACATAATGCCTCGACGATCGAGGTCCTATGAGCTATGAAGTGAACCATTGATTTGGTTTTGCAATGCTGCATTCAGGTGAGCAGCCTCGACAGTCTTTTGAGCCTGAATGCTTAATGCTTTAGGGTCCTGACCCTACTGGCTGTACCTGCATGGCTAATGGTGAAGGGATGTTTAGGGCTTAGGATCTATGAGCTCTCTGAACTTGAACGCATTTGAACGTGCAGGTCGTCATGTTTCAAGCTGATGTGGATGCGTGGTGGAACTTGTCTTTCTCCCATGCCATCCCCGCCTTCGACACTCGGCCGCAGACTTGTGACGCGCTGTCGATCCAGTGTTCGGCTTTCACCGCCCGAGCCAACCACTAGAAGCTTCCAGTGTCGTTGTCTATGGCTACGGAGCTGGCGCAGCTGAAGCAGCAGTGCTCCGTTGCTTCTAAGGCCACCCTTCTTTGGGGAGAGGAGCTTTTCTTGGGATGGGTCATCGCTGGCTGTGCGAGGCTGGAGGCGCCTGTCCCCAGATGCAGAAGAGATAAAGTGCCCCGGTCAGGTCTGTGCTCGCCCTGCACATCAACCTTATCCTCTTGCGCTTCCAGCCCCTCTGGTGCCCGCAGAAGGTGATGGTGTCAGCCGCAGGTGCTGAAGAGGAGGAGGCCGGCGACAGCCCGTTTTGATGTGTGAAGTGCCGTCCGATGGGACAGGGATGGGTTCCCAATTCCCAAACCTCGAATAGAAGCCCAGCAGCAAGTCCTGGACAAGGGCGCCTTGGTGTCGAGTGGAACTAATCACAGCACTGGCAGGATTAGAAGCAGTAGCAGCATTGCAGTTGCAGTTGTCGTCGTGGCAGTGCTGTCGCTGGTGCCAGAAGTCGTCGTCGTGGTGTTAGTCGTAGTCGTAGTGGTAGTAGCAGCAGTGTAGCAATAGAGCCAGCTGGCAGGACTTGATGGCAAGGAAGACTTTTACGCGCCAGGCAAGGCAATTTAAGACACTGCTGCTTGGGTACTTATGGAGCGCATGGAGGTCTCCGAGCAGACCCGCCGAAAGGGCACTGAACATCAGCCAGCACTTCTGCGCTCGGCCGGAGCCCTTCAATTGATCCGTGATTGCTTGTCACACACACACACATAGAGCAGCTGCAGCATGCACAATCATCGGGTGTCTTGATCCTTCAATGCTGGACCTTCCCGTGGAAAAGTAACTAAGTCCCTAAAACAGAAACCCTAAACCCTAAACCCTAAACCTTAAACCCTAACCCCTAAACCCTAAACAGGGTCGTTCTTCCGGTCAAGCCATGCCGGCAGGCCTCTATTGCGGACGTCGGCCTGGCCATGGAGCAGGACTCTGATTTTAAGGTTCTTATTGTTCAAATACTGCAATATTATGCTTGCTGTTATTAAGACTTGCTACTGCTATTGTTAGTCATGTTTTTATTGTCAGGCCACGATTATTATTATTCTTGTTATTTGTATTCTATTTCTTCTTATTATCATTCTTATTATCATCTCTCATGTGACTGAGCGATCCTGAGCACAGGAGGCTCAAGCGTCCGCGTCCCAAGCGGTTCCGCCAATACCCTTGCCGAAGCCGGGACCCTCGGAAGACGGAGGTGGTGTCTTTGTGAAGTACAAGGCCAGAACTGCTTCCTGCTTTCGCACTTGTCTTTGATGTCGCTGTTCTTCATGTCATTGGCATGCTTGTCGCTAGTAACTTTAGCACCACTTGTGGTTGCTTTTCTTACTGCTTCAGCTGTCGTCAACTGCCTGCGAGATTTCTGGAGTCTTGTCTTGTCTCTTCAAGCTGAGATCAGAGCCTGTGCAGGTTCACGAATCCAGCACCGGGGCAGACCCATCGGTGGAGGTCAAGCTGGAGCCCCTCTGGCGCCGCAGCACCCTTGTCGATCTTGCGAAGGACCAGCCTTTTCGTCAAGCTGCTAGCTGCTAGCTGTCTGAGGGCTGTGGCCGATCCCTAAACCGGCATAAACCCTATCCGAAGCGTGACCCCTCAACCCATGACCCTCCCTCCAAGTCGGAACCTTTTCTGAAGACCGACCAGGATGCTGTTGCCGACATCCTCCAGGCTCGGCAAAGGGTTCAGGGCAGAAGCAGAAGCTCTTTTTCACATCGACTGTCGTGATTTTGTTCTGATGTAGGTATGCAGACGCACAAGGATTGCAATTTGTATGCATGCATGCGCGTATGTTTGTTCCTTCCTTCGTCTGTTGGAGTTTGCATGTTTACCCATGCATATGTGGGTCCTCATGCAGTAACTCTTAATGAGCATCCGCTTCTCTCTCAACTCTCACCTGCGTATGGCTCAGTATCGCGCTTATGTATAGTGATTGTTCATTGTTCGTGGCATCCCAGTTGTCTCCTCTTCGTCGTCACAGCTTAATGAGATATTTCGTGTGTGTGAGTATTGCATGAAATATCTCATGTGTTTGGTTTTGCAAATGTTAAACAAGTAGATGCCACTGCTAGCCATGTTGATGTGGTCGTTCATGCTTTTTGTTCTTGTACTAGGGGCTCATGCATTGGCCATTTTCATGTCATGTAGTTTCTTGACCCAAGGGTATCAGTATCATTATCACCTTTGCTGTTGCTGCTTTTGTTGGTAATGTTGCTGTGTACCAATGTCTTTGGTACCGCTTGTTTGCTTCATGCTCCTGTTTGCGTTGGAAAGAGATGACGATGATGCTGATCTTGTTGATGTTTCAACTGTTCATCATCACAACTTGTCACATGTCGTGCGCTGCAAAACAGCAAGCTCTCATTTTTGCCGTCATTGTTGCTGTCGCCGGCGTTCTTCTTCTTTTCTTGTTATGGCTTCTTCGTCTTCTGGCGTCTCCCCTTATTCTCGTTCTTCTTCCTGGTGTCTTCTCCTAGCTACTGTAACTGGCTGCTGTTTGCTCGTCTGAATCACTAGGGTTCCCTGACAGTCCAGGTGCAAGCAACCGCTGTGAAGCCGGATCGTCCACTGATGGACCTGGGCTTTGATTCCGCGGGAGCTCTGAAACTCAGAAACAAGCTGAGCAGGCGGGCTTTAGGGCTTGCGGCATCTGCAACAGGTTCAGGCTTGCAGGCTTGCAGCATTGGCAGGTTTGGAGACGGTTTTGACTTGACTTGGCTTGAAGTTTGCTCAAGACATGTTTTTGGTGTCTCGCCTCTTTGTGTGCTTTCGATTCTAGATGCCGGTTTTGGTTTCCCTTGACCGGATGTTTATCAACGTCTGGGTTTCCAGGCATTCAGATCAAGATTGGGTTTCGTTTCATGCTACTGTACTCTGCGTCACAGATTGACTTAGACTTGTGCTTGTGAGCCTCTTTGTGGCTTTTCCAACGTTGCCAGCAGGCCAGATTTTTTGGCTTGTTTTGGTGTCTCCGTCTGGGCAAGGATGCTAGAGTCCCACTGTTTTGAAGCTTGCGAGCATGGAGGAAGGGGAAGCCAGTGTTTGATTCACTTTGCTAGCTTTCGGGGTCCTATTCTGGTTGGCGGTTTAGGACCTCGAGGCGAATCAGGTACAGGTTGGGGTTGATCTAAAACCCTGAAGAATGAAGAAGACGCAATTAAGCGGATGCAAGAGCTGCGCCATGTGTACCCGTGCCCGTACCAACCTCACCTGGCACTGTTTTCGACAAGGCGCCTGAAGATTGAGCTGCCTCCCACACTTCTTTTTGACCATCCCACCATCAACGCGGCCTCCTCAGCTTGATATGAACACACGAGAAGCTTACCACTTCATTTTCCGTAATGCTCCTACCTATCCAAGGACATGGTGGACAATGGTATTGCACTGCTGTCCAAGAGGCCGATGACTCCCGCGCACGCTGATGGCGTTCCTGCAACCACCCAGCAGGGGCCAATCTCGCATCATGCACCGTGTTCGCATTTGCGGTACTTGTGACAGTCAAAATCGCTTGTGTGTGGGATCGACTAAGCTTCCAGGTCATAGTTTCCACTTCTTGCCAATTCCCTGGTGGCGCCAACAGCAACTCCTTCGCACGATGTCGTAGTCCTGCGTAGTGTTGAGATCCACAGAGAAGAGGTTGCAGATGGACCACTTTCGCGTTTGCCTTCAAGTTTTGGATCAGGTTTGAAGCTCTACTGGGACATGTTGGCAGACAAAACGGATGCGGTGATTGAAGTCCCACTTTCACGTGCCAGACTGAGTACGTGGGTGCCTTTTGGCAAGCCAAGACCGAAGTTTTGTCAACTGAATGCCGCCTTGTTCAGGCTGGGACCATGAACTCTACTACTCACAGGAGCCGCAGGAAGGAAAGACATACGCCCGCCATGGTGGCTTCGTCGAGGCAGATTCACGAGCATCTTGATGGCTGAGCGTGGGATCTTTTCGTTGAGCCACAGAGACACGGCATGACACGGCTATGTGCAGGGTACAGACCTCTTCGACGTGACTTACTTCGGACTGGGCAGTGCTGAGGCTGGCAAGCGAGGATTGAGGGCTAATTAGACGCATCTTCATCAAGTTCCCTGATCTGAGGCGAGGACCACCGATCCACAGCAGCGGATGCTGCTGGGAGCAGCCTACGACGCGCTGCGAGGTGATGGCTTCCTTGATTGCACTCGTCCGATTTGGTGCCTTGCGGCATGACCCATGCAGACAGCATGCTGAACTGTGCTTCGAACCAAGGCTACGACAAGGCGTTGCTGCAGAACAATCCTTTGGCACCTTGGCTAGTCATCACGGTCAGAAATCCGAAGTGGTTGCTTTGATCAAACCAAGTTAGCTTTCGTCGACTGAGGGCGTCTTCACCGCTCTCAGCAACATGGAGTGGTTTCATTTGGCAGTGTCGAAACCTGGAGTCTATACAGGGCCTGGTGTGTCCAGTGCCATTGCGGCGAACCGGATCAGAACCTCGGAGGCATTTCCAGCAGCAGGAGTTTTGATGCTGCCCTCAGTGCACCATTTAAGTGGATTTCGAGAAGAGGCGCTGGTACAGAAAAATTGGCAGGACGTTGTCGCATAACAGATGTGCCCAGGCTATGTGTTCGGCCTCAAGGGACCCAGTATGACGGCCTTGGCCTGACTGCATTGTGATGTGACCAGGGATGCTCAATGCGCTGTCAAGCCGGATCAGCATGTGTCACTCACTGAGATTGACACAGCATGCTCCTCATCGCTGTCCGCTCTACATGCAGCACTGCGGTCTCTGGAGGTCAGTGCTGTGTTTAAAGAAAGGTTCCCGACATAAGGAAAGGTAGTCGGGACACTGCGCGGGACACCGCGAACCCATGCATGCACGCAATTACTATACATTGCATGCATGCATGCATACATACATACATACATACATACATACACACATACATACATGCATAGATGCACAGGCGGTAGATGCGTAAATGCATACATAGATAGATGGATTCGTTAGATTGGTATTGGATAGATAGCTAGGGTAGGTAGGTAGATAATAGATGTGTGTGTGTGTATCTATCTATCTATCTATCTATCCATCCAGCCATCTATCTATCTATCTATCTATCTATCTATCTATCTATCTATCTATATATCAGACATACGCATACGTAGACGAAAACAAGACAAGCTCTGTGTCCACCTGTCTACCTATCTATCTGGCAAGCACCTTCCTCTCCCTACGCAGGTTTCCTCTCTGTGCATGTAGGGAAGGACTGGAAACGAATCCTTGAATCTACGGTGCACATGTTGTTCGCTGTGTCGACCGCTCCATTCGCACAGGGCCGACGCTCCCACGGAGCACGGGGCGCGCTGCTGTCGGCTGCAGAGGCTCACTTCCCGGTGACCCGTGGTGTTGGCATTCGGTGAAGTGTCGGGTTTAGGTTCGTCTGACTCCGGAATGTGGAGGTCTTGCATGGTCCAAGCAGCTTTGTGCTGCGCTCCGTGGCTGGCATGCTCTCCCCCGATGGCCGGTGTAAGACTTTCGATGCCACCGCGGATGGCCACTTGGAAGCAGCCGATGCTGTACATGTCGACTTGTTCAATGTGCTGCCGGGCAAGGCTACATCCGTGGTGAGGGAGCCGGTGCGATGCTACTCAAGTCTTCGGCGGATGCCGAGGAGGGAAGATGCCAGAACGTGGCAGAGGCACATCGAACAAGCACCGAAGAAGCCTTTCTTGTGCAATGCTCTCCCTTCTGCAACGGAATGGTGTTCTGACTGCACAGGTTGCCGGCGTGGCAGCTGGACAGCACAGAATCTCTCGGAGCTGGTTTTGCTGTCTTCAATGTGTTTACTACGACATACATGTACTTGAATATACTATGCTGTTTCTGCTACACTTCAGGTGATGAACCAAGATGGGAAAAGTGCCACGTTGACGGCTCCAAACGGCGACTCGTCTTGAAAAGAGCAGCTTAAAGCCATGCACAGAGCAGCACCTGGTGCAGCAAGCTGTGAAATACCCCAAACTGCTCCATCGTAATCGGGCTTAAAACTTTTTATTCCCCAGGCCCGCATCCCTACATGCCTCTGTCTATAACTATGCCGTCAATACCCGTACCCCGTAGCACTTTGGGCTCGCAACCCCCACAAAACCAGCGAGGCCCCAGCCAGGAGGAGCTCTTGCAGCAGGCACTCCGGGAGGCGCAGCTGCCTGGCCATGCGCTGGGAGCTTTGGAGTGTGCGGCAGCCCAGTAAAAAGCCGGGGGGGGGGGGGGGGGGTCGAGCTATTTGTGGTTTTGGGCTGCTTGGGTATTGGGGCCTTTTGGGGGTGCAGGGCTCAGGAGAAAAGGTTTGGGAAGTTTAGGGCATCGTTTTTGTTGGCTTGGACTTGGGCTGAGGATTTCGAGTTTCGGGCCTCGGAGGCTTGTAAGGGCTTGGAGGGCTCAGTGGGCTGGGGGTGAGCATGACCCAGTCTTTTGGGGACTTGGTGCTTGGGGTTTGGGGGTTACCGGTTAGGGGCCAGACTGCAGCTTGAGGGCTTGCAGCTATGCGACCGCCTTTGCAAGTTAGGGTTCCTTATAGATGCCCGGAATGCTGCACCCTTTGGCCTACGTAGCTGCATGTGAAGATATACTGATATGTATGTGTAACAGCAATTGCAGGTGTGTGGGAGTGACACACCTGCGTGCGCATGCGACCGCTCTGAGGCCATGGAACGGGGACGGCCCTGGGTGATCCCATCGAAGTGGGGGCTATCAAAGCCGCTTTGGGGCCCCTCGGAGATAAAAAAAGCAAGGAGAGTTACACCAGTTTTTCGGGTCCATTTCTGGCCTCTAAGGCGGAACGATCCAAAAGCAGAAAGCCCGCTTCCACTCTTCTTGGCAGCAGCTTGGAAGCAGCTTGCTGCAGAAGTTTCCTTCCAAAGCTTGCCGTGGCCACTAAGGCAGGAAAGTCGAACCACGGTCACCTTGAAGGGGCGGCAGGCTGTCAACTCGGCACTGTTTTCTTTCTGAATTCCATGCTGTCTGTAGCTGGAAAGACATGGCCTTCCTCCAGGCTTTGCTGGTCTGACAAAGGTGCGAGTCTCAAAGGTTCTCTTATCAGTGAGGCCCCAGCTCACGACGAAGCGTTTGGAACAGCTGGGCGGCTAAGGTAGCTGCGTGCTTGCAGCGCAGAGAGGTTCCTCCAAACATCCATTTCCAGGTGCATTGGTGAAGACTGCCTCCACCCTCACATGTCGACCCATGTGATGGATGGCAGATCAGTGATCAGGGTGTGCACAGGAGCTCAACCCGCACATCTCCCTGGAGCACTCTCGTCTTAGTGTACCGACATCCACCGTGAAGCTTGAGGGGGGCGTCAACCAGGCCGCAAGAATCCCCCGAAAGAGTCTAAGCACGTGTCTCAGCTCTCAGAGCGCAGGCGTCGCCGGCAATGGGCGTGTCGTCCTTCGGTTTTGGAGGTACGAACACCCACGCGCGCCTTGGCAGCGATTTGCGCCACGAAGTTGGCGTCGTGTAGCATTTCAAGCTGCAAGCGTGAGAGCCATATGCAGTGTGAGATTTGATGGCTTCTTCGGACGGCTTGGTCAAGCATAGATCCAGGCTACTGATGGCGTCACAGTCGCACCGCGCCCGGTGCTCAGCTGTCTTGACACCTGCAGCGGCAGCATACACAGTTTCTTTGCAAAGACTTTTTCAGTTTGTCGTTTGCGGCCTCAAGACCTCGTATCTACTCTTCAAATCCAGCCAGCTTTGTAAGGAAAATGCTGCGGCTCAGTCTCAGTGGCCCAAGCGGGTGGCCTTCCTCTTTACAGGCAGGTTGTAGGTGGATCGCGACCTGACTGGTCTCCACTCCTAGTAGGGAGTGCCGATGTGCACATCAACTGAAATGTGGAGGGATGTTTGTATGCGACGAGAGACGCGACGGCCCGGACTCCCGTGGTGGAACAATTCTCCAGGGAGCCCAACAAAAGCGATGCGTTTGCCGAAGAGTCATGTCGGAGCATGTGCTCTCTGTGTGCAGGCCAGGGTTCCCAGCTGCCAGAGATGGGGAAGAAGCTTTATAAGACTGATGCCGCTTCGGCTGCATCTTTTGCTTTTGACTGCTCTTTCATCAGACACTTTTGCTACTTCCCGAAATCCTACAAGTGCCCTGAACCCAAAAAAAGCCTGCAACGGCCTTGCAGGAGGACTTCCGGGCGGCGCTGGACCGGTGTGCTCAGGTGCTGGAGGGCCACTCCCTGCTGGAACCCACCGGGGACGCCAGAGCGGCACTTCGAGAACTCTAGGGCCAGAAAGCCTTTCATTCAGGGTTTAGGGTATATAGGGTATAGTATAAGCCCTAACCCCTAAACCCCTAAAACCCCTAAACACCTAAACCCTAAACCCTAAGTCATAGGGTTGCGCGCTTCAAGGGGCAGGGGCTTGGGATGTAGCAGCTTCTGGGTCGACGCGTATTGGGAAGGTACCTTGGGCAACAACCGGGGGGGGGGGGGGCAAAATGCCCCGGGTTCCATGCCGTACTGCAGTACTGCTGGATGATATAGGAGATCCAGAGGGGAGCCCCGACCAGGGTATAGGGCTTAGGGAGTTATGGCCCAAACCCTAAACCTGCAAAACCCTAAGCCCTAAACCCTAAACCTTAAACCCCATCCTTTTTGGCAGCGTTCTGAAACCTCAAGGACCTCAGGGACTTGCTCTTCGCGGACGGACCTGAAGCCGCCACGAGGTTCGATCAGTAAGGCGCTCGGAGTCGACAGTCGAAGGGACCCAAAGCCCCAAACGCGAAACCCCCGAAGCCTACAGACCCTAAATCCGAGCTGAGGTCTACATCACTTTCCCAACTGGCCATTTTTGCCCTGGAGTATGCGCTGAGCGAAATGTGGAAGGCCAGAGGCCTCCAACCTTTCGCTGTTCTTGGGCACAGCGTGCCTCGGTAAGAATGGAGTTGAGGTTTTCGGGATTTTAGGGGCTCAGGGTTTAGAGCGAAGGGAACGCGGCTTCGGGGGGTTGAGGGCTTAGGGGTTTTGATCAGACCTCTAGCAGCGTACGCCTAGTCCCATTTCCCATGACCCTTGTACTGAGCCCTTCAACGAATGAAGAGAGCTGAGCTGAAGTAGCCCAAACCCTAAACCCTAAACCCTAAACCCTAAACCCTATCCATAGAAGACTCGAACACCCAAAAAGAATCGTTGGCCTCAGTGCCGGAGGATTTGGGTCTTTGGCAACTGAGGTGGGCGAGTACGCTGCTGCTGTGCTGGCGGGGAGCATGTCCCTGGAGGCCCATTGGGATTAAGCTTTGAGAGCGTAGGCTTTTGGGGGCTCAGGGTTTAGTTTTGACCTTTCGGGGGTTTGGTCTTTGGAGATTTAGGGGCCAGGAGCCACAGGAAGGCGAAGCTTGTGCGCGGGGCTGCTTGAGCATGAGCTTCTTGACCTTGCGGGCGTATGGAATGTCTGCCCCATGCAGGTGGGCCTGCAGCTGGTTGCAAGGCGTGCTGAGCTCATCGACCAAAAGTGCGACGCAGGACGACTAGGGTTGGCCTGAGAGTCGTTAAGGTCGTGCGATGGCTGTTTCCACAGGCCCTTAAGCGCTGCCTTCATTTCGCAACCCTAAAATGATAAAACACACAAGTCTGAATCTCTACACCCTAAATCTCGGGCATACGAAGGTGATGGTGACGGCAAGGGCTGCGGAAGAAAAGGGTGCCGAAAGATTTGTCCTACACCCATCAGATTGCCAAGATTGGCAGGAGTGGGTGCAATGGCCTCTATTTTCGCAGCGGAAGACGTTGTGAAGAAGGCCAGGTCACTTCAGAGCATGCTCACGAGTG